GTTAATAATAAAAAAAAAGTCATATAAGCAGGAAGGAGAAAATATAATGTGCACTATGGTGAGTATGCGATCTTGTAAGTGAAGAGCTGATTATAAAGGCAGATGGCACAAAAGCAACAAATTAGGAGCAACTAAACTTTTGAATACTGCACAATGCAAACAAAAGAATGTACTTTCAATGTCTGTCTTCATGCGCATACCCAAAAAAAAAAAAAAAAATCAATGACAAAATCTTAAGTTTCATTACTGTTTTATTGTAAATGTTCTTAGCTGCCAATCTACACTGCAAATTTACATCTAAAAATATGCACAGCCACCTGTTGCTACTACTACAATTGTTTAAGCTGAAAATATTCATTACTTAAAGCAGCCGCTGTTCTTAGTTACTTTTTCCTCATACCACATCATATACTGCCCCGTTGAGCATTTGGGCCACGTTCCCCTTTGTCTCCCATTTGCTGCCAATGAACCTACAGAAGCCATGTGTGCATGCGTGTGCATGTGTATCTTTCCCTCTCCCTCTCTTACATTCAACTCCAGCTGAGCTTTTGCTTTTCTAATTCTGTCTCTGCATGCCCAGGTAATTTCTTATTTCTCCCAGGCAGCTAATCTGATGCATCTGCTTGACTGTCTGCATGTCAGAATGGGCCATCCTCATACTTCGTAGAATGCAATAGTAAGATAAAATAACAGCAAGAAAAGACACTATGCAGAAACAAACAAATAAAAACCCCAGGCAGTGCTGCATTCTGACTCAACAGACCAGCTGAAAGATCATAAGGCCTTCTCATAACATGATGTATTAAAGAGAGGAGATCATCAGCAAACTTATGCCTTCTACAGATATCATGGAGAAAACCTGGTCTTACAACAAAAAGGTCTTGAGTGTATTCTGTATGAGAAATGTACCCATGGACTGCCTCTGTCAAAGCTATCATCACTGCCATGGATACTTATCACATCTTCCAAAATCTCCAGTCATGAGGAGGTCTGTTATATCAGGCATGGTAAAGACACAGTAAAGGCAGACAGAGGAGTTACAAGCAGAAATATGCATCACACTATTTTCCATGCATAATTACTGAATAGGCCTCAGTTTTTCAAATTAAATCACATCAGAATTTCTTTTTTGTTCTATTCACTCTCCATAATTAAGGATATTTCTACATGACAAGAAACTTTTAAGCCTCAATGGAGTAAAATAGGGTAACTGGTAAAACAGCGCTAGAAACATCTATTCTGGTTTAAGAAGCAGTCAGAGTAAAAAAAAAAAATTTACAAGCTTAAACAAAGTTTATAAAGAAAAATCTACTGACATTTATTTATCCTTTTTCATATATAGTGGATTCTTTAAGCTCTTTTTCAGAAAAAAATTGTATCATGCTTTTGAATGTGTGATTTTTGAAGTTTATGCATAATCATATGCATTTATTAGTAAAAATAGCTACTGTAAAGGTAGGTAAACCTCACTGCTTTGCTGAATTTAGTTTATTTCTGTCCATCAAAATAATGCTGAAAAAATCTGGGGGTTTATTTATTTTTTTTTAAATTTAAGGTAAGTCTTATTCATTGCATCCTTCCAGCACAGATAACACTCTGGGATCTGTTTTTCCAACAGTTTTCCAGCACCTTTACAGTAGTTTCATCTAGCCTGTATCTCCCCACTTTACTGTATCAAGTTTAATGCTTCTCTTCGAGGCATGAGGCACATTCCCATATAAGAGAACAAAATTAGTTGGCTCTGACGTGACTTGTGCTTGACAAATCTATGTTGACTTTTACTTACTGTCTTCTTAGCTTTTAAGTACTAATAAATAGTTTATTTGATCCAGAACTTTTTGCATTTGTCATCTGATTGCAGCTGACCTTCTTGGAAGACTGAGGCAAAACAGCTATTAAATACTCCAGCTATCTTGCTGATAGTTTAATGTCCCCTCTAATCTGTTCAATTATTTATTGATTTTGTAAAAAAAAAAAAAAAAATTGCTGCTAAAATGTTAAAGAATTATTCTTTATCCTTGATGCCTTTTGCTAATTGCATTTTTTCATCAAGTTTCTGTCTCTTCCCATCCTTGTTTGCGCAAAGATTCTGTTAGTTTCTCCTTTTTTATATTTCCTATTTTATATTTCCTTCCAGACTCTATTTCACCAAAGAATACATGATACAGACTTTCTGTTGTTGTGATATTTAATCTTTCCTTCATATGGAAACACTTTGCTTTTGTGCTCTTCAATAGTATTGTTAAGGAACTGACGAGATCCAAATTTCTTTTGTCCATATCAGTTGATCTTTTTTTGACGTTTATTGACACTTCCCTTATTGAAGCTCAGCAGCTTTACCTTAACATTTTCTTTCTTTCCTTTTCTAGTTACTATCAACTCTATCATTGTATGATCATTCATCCCAAGGTACTTCTCACAATGGGGCTGTACTTCCCCTGCACTGTCATCAAAACTAGATGAATTTTCTCATTGTTTTCCACTACTTCCACACGGCAAACAAACTGAGGTATTAAAGCTTAGTTACAAAGATTTGTTGCTAGACTAATGTCTTTTGTATGCAAAAATATCACACAATATTTGCAACAAAAAATCCCAAATACTTTAAAAGACACAAATAGACTTTTATCCCTTTTGATCTGTGCCATTATCTAATACTCAGATTGGCAGGTTGTTTCTGTTGTGGGCTGAAACAAGTTATTGAGGCAGACATTCATCGATCCAGTTCTATTTACTTACAAGTATTTCTTTTTGTAGTTCTGTCAGAGTAAATATTAAGTAACTTTATCCTTTTTCTTACCTCTAGGTCTTACCCCTCAGACAGCAGCATTGTTATTCTTGCTTTCTGTCTTCTTTTGTCTGCTTCTCATTTTTAGACAGCACAAACCATTAAACACAGTACAGTGTTTTTATTCAGAACCTGGGAATATATCTCAAACTGTATTTCAGCTGCTGCTCCAACCTTCTGATTGCTAATCAATAGCTGGTACATGCTATTACTTCAGCTCTTGAAAAACACTGCAACTTTCACCGATTCTGGAGGTTCAATGAGGTTTGCAATCTACTGCATGTCCAAGGCACTAACGCTGAAAGCCAGTCAACCTCCAGTGTGAACTGTTGGGATAAGAAATTTATCAACCTCGAAACCATTTCAGAAAAGTCAATTTGTCCTTTCCATTTAGAATGCAGCGTGAAGAAGCTTTGCTTGTTTTTTTACCTAATGTACTATGTCCTGAGGCATACAGAAAAGGAAAGAAACTTCATCTTTTAAAGTAGTTATAAAAACATCACTCTAAATGTGTTTGTTTTCTGTTTTTAAGCTTCCTCTCTAAAACAGAGCTCAGCCTCATTACACACTTATTCTCTATCACTCTTTGGGATGTAAGAAAATGTAAAAATCATGCTGTTTTCACTGCAGCAGATCACTGATGCGCAATATGAAGAGCTAAGTAATAACAACTGCTTGCACATCAAAGCATTATTATAAATATAATTAAATATGCCTGAACTGCAATTTGTACTTTTTCTTGTTATAACTATTACCATTTTTTTTTTATCACTAGCAAAACCCCTTCTTAAGGCTTTCGCACTCAATGTTTACATACTATGCAAACTGCAGCCCAAGACAATTCATCTGCTTTTGAAGTAATGTCTGAGGTCTTCCACCGTCATGGCAGCAGCTTGTCCCTTCCTCTTCCCTGCAGCTTTCCTCATCTAAATAATGTGATATTTTACTGCTTTGTGGTATGAGCTAATTATTTGTGAGTAATTTTGTTCTGTTTTGATTTACCATTTGCACCTTCTCCTCTTAACTGCTACTGTCTGTTAATTCTCTCAATTGAGGAATTTTAGGCACGTCTTCCTAACTACATCCAAACAAACATTTCTCACTTAGCAGAGGTGAAATAAACATGATGTAGTATCAGATCAGGCATTCTTGCCATATTCTGCAAAATGATCCTTAAGTTGCCTAACTAAATGGTGGCAGACACGTATTTGTAAGACACAATCGAGCCACTAGAGCTTTCTGATACAGATCACTTCTTTAGTGGGATGTATTCTGAAGAGCTACAAAACTGTTATCACTCTACTCTGAACTTCCTTGGATGCAAATTATTCAACATAATAACGTTCTTCCAAATAGAGGAAAGAACATTCTGGGGCTCTTTCTTCCATTTGGAACAAATCTAAATCTAATTTGCTGAAAACTAGGACAGTTTTAACCATGGTAGTAAATGTGGTCTGTGCCAACTATCAGGACATACCTTAAACAAAACTCAAAACAACCCACAAACATGCTGTACTTTAGATCAGACCAAGCTACACTTACTTAATTTCCAAGACACAACGCATATGCTGCAATACTCTTCTAAATATTGTGATGTTTTCGAAACACATGCTTGTAAAGGAAAAATACAGCACATTTCCTATTTGCTAATGTTAGTACCAATTACCTCAACGTACTGAGCAGCACAGTTGTCCAGCCTAGACATATGGATGAATACAAATATTTTAGTTTATATAGATAGCAATAGAGTAATGAAAAGCTGTATTGTAACATGACTGTAAGTATAGCAAGGAGTGGACGAGAGCTCAAGAGTGTCAATTCAGCATCCAAACACACAGCAGTCCCCCTTTTCAGAACAATCATACATCATGACCCTGCCATTATTAGTACTTCTCAAACAAGAGCCCTAAGAAGGCAGCTACTAAACACTAAGACCTTCAGTAATATTTGGAGGCCAAGTCAGAAACCTAAATAAAATTCAACTATTTAAAGCCTTTAATGCTTTGCTTATACATAAGCACTACTTCTCATACACAATGATTAGTATTACTGATACTCTCATGCATGCATCGCAGGACTGTCAACTTACGATTTACCAGCTTTCTCCTTTCAGTTGTGTCACAAGAATAGCTCACGTGTTTTTCTCCAATGTATTTGCTTTGTTCACAACTTTTTTCCTAGGAAGCTTTTCAGTTATTTGATACAATCCTACCTGATCTGCTTGCCTTCTCGAACATCGTACAAAGAAAAAAAGACATCTGTGTCTTCTCCAATTGTATTGTAGGTGAAGCTCTTTAGACTGAGGAAGAAGTGATGAGGCACTGGCATACGGCAAGCTTCCCCATGACGCTGACGAATTGTATCCACCTGATTAAAAACAATGAAAATCATTTTTAGTTCATCACAAATAAAAGACACGTGACCAACTTGATTATTTCAACTGAGATTCTGCTCTCCTCTCTCAGGTAAAAGCTTAATCTCAAATATACTCTGCCTTAGAGGTACATGCCAGATTGTTTTCTTCCTCTATTTTTTCAACTTTTAATTTGAATAGTTGGAGAAACCACAATAACCAAGTAAGTAAGAGATAAATGGTTTATGCATCTGAAATCTATTTTTATCCACTAAACCAAGTCAATCCTATTTCTCAAATATCGTCTTGATTCTGGTACTGAAAATGATCTACAGTAAGACTGTACTAGAGTGGTTCTTGATTTCCATTTAAAGCAGAGAGACTTCAAAGCATTTTTAAGAGTAACATTTGTTACGTTATTTGTTTTCAGCAGCTGCAATTCATTTATGGAGGTCATTTAGAACCAGGCTTCACAGGCTAATATTCCCTGCAGGTATAACAAAAAGAAATCTTAAGAACAGTTGATAACATGAGCAACCAATAAAGCCAAATAGCAGAAAGGTTTACCATTTCAGTCAGTATATCAAGACCTATTTACAACAGTGAAAACCGGGGTGTAGGAAAAAGAGAAGTATAATTAGAAATGAAGTTATTCTTTAATTTTTATAGGCCTTTCTATCCATTGTATGCTGATCTTAATAAATAGGTTGCATGAGTATCCTAAGCTCACGAGACTAGTCTCCTCTGAATGCGTAGACAGGTACACACTAACAAAGAAAATCTTAGCATTTTCAGATGTTCAACCCAGACTTGTACTAGCTTAAAAAAAGTAGAGTTTAAAATTAATTTTGTTCTGGATTTTAAATTAAATCCAAGTAAATCCTCATCCGTTAAAGACAGGTACCTGTGGAAGCATAGTTCTCCTGGAAAGATTAGACCCAGATTCTGTGACCAGGAAAGGATTACATTACTACATAAAGGACGTGTGAAACAGAAGCCTACTAAGCCACACGTTAGCAGGTGGAAAGACAACTCATATGGCCAGACTGAGGCTTTTGATACCACTACAGAAGTTGATCTTTTAAGAACAACAATTAGAGCTAAGGAAAAAAGGCCTAAATGGAAGTTGAAGAAGGAGCTTAATAAATTAATCACTTGGGGATCTTCTGACAAAGTGTTCTATGGGTAGGGACTTACCCAATAATCTCCATCATACCTTTACCTATGTTACCAAACTCTTAAAAGACAATAAAAATTCCTATGTAGATGATGCTTACCTGTGACGTGCTCTGCTGGACACTGTGTCTACTTGACAAATGCTGTGGAGATACAAAATAGTAAAATTTAAACCTTTTTGAAAGTAAGAAATATTTACATTGTATCTGTGGAGCATTAGAACATTCGACTATTCGAGATTATCATCAACTTTTCATGGCCTTTTTTCACTGTGTATCATCATTCCACTAGCTATCCTAAAGGCTTTTCTCAGTTAAGCCGTTTCTTAGCGTAAATACTTGAATTTACAGGTGGTATTTACCTTAGCTTTTAATGTAAATGGCTGTCACAAGCTAGACAAGTTTCCTTGTAAAAGCATTTATTTTTGAAAAGTCCGTAACTCCGTACTGTATAATCTGTGTTTCCTTGCTAAACGTGGGGTTACCTCACCACTAATCCTCATCTACCAGTATGTTGTCTATAAAAAGGTACATTTATTAAAACACACAGACATCAGAAAGAAGGATGGATTTTAGACTTCGTTCAAACTTTTTGCTCTGATCAGAAAATGAAATCCTGACAAATGGTTAAAGACTCTTCTACAATTTCAGTTGGCCAACACCTATAAAGAAGCATCAGTATAAAGAGCTACATCTCCAAAATGGAACTCAGAGGATGATCCTGTATTTAAACGCCTTTATGATAGGAGATGTTATAATCAAAATGGACTGCAAGTCTCACTGAACTGATTTAATCTCCAAAGTGAGATTTAAATACTAATCTAAATTGAAAAGGTTCCAGAGAGCTTTAAAAAACATATCATTGATTCTACCATGCCTGTTCTGCACACATTTGTCTTAACATTAGCATTTTAAACTGAAATATTAACATTAACACTACCATGTGTTAATAAATATTGTCTTCATTCGCCCCCCTCTCTATCCTTTTATTACACACCCAACATCTTATTCTGACCAAACACACACACTCAGTAGCAAGACCAGCAGGATCTGTTGATAAACTTATAGCTTCAAAAGAGGTGAAAGACAGTCCACAAAAATGTACTCAGCAATACTTTTTCCAAACAATGCCACTGTCTTTCACACAGAGGAAAAATAAGACTTTTTACCACAAAAGGAGAGAATCTTCATAATGAGACTAAATCAAGATATTAACTTAAATGGCATATTTTGACATCTATTTACATTCACAGTTAGAAAAACGTCCTCTTGCACACTGTCAGCAGAAGAAATAACGATCTCCAGCTCCATTGTTTGTCTAACTATTGTGCTGTCTTCTGAATTTAACCCTCTAAGTTTAGATAGTTGAGTTGCCTATTTAATCTTTTTGTCACCTGCAACCACTCGGAACTGGCTGGCATAGAAAAAAAACCAGTTACTTAAGCTGCTCAAGGTATCCTGGCTTCTTTTGACTAAAATTCATCTCTAAATCTGAGTAAGAAAGTGGGAGATAAACTCAAGCAACAGAAATGGGAGAGGTGGTTCAAAGAGCTACAGTTACCTCAGCAAACACAGCTGTTTACAGAGTGCACATTTGGGTAAACCTGTCACAGTAAGTGGCGAAAACCCAGATTTTCAATTTTTCTCAATCAAAAGACTAGGCTTCACTAACTCTGCCTTTACGCTTCAGGACCACGCTATTACAATACAGACAACCACTGACTGAGTTAATTTTATGTACCCTTGCCTCTGGCTAGGCAAAGTGCAAAAAAGCAGACGTGTCTCCTGGAAGCCATTTTTGGGTACATGAATGAGAGGGTGACTGAAAATAGCCAACATGGATTTATCAAGGGTAAATCACTCTTGCTCAATCTAATTGCCCTCTGGGGCAATGTAGATGAGGAAAGACTAGTGGCTGTTGCCTGTCCTGAGTTCAGCAAGGCCTTCACCACAGTCTTCCACAGCATCCTTGTACCCAAGTTGTGAAGTTACTCCCGGATGGGTAGGCTAACTATATTGGTAAAAAAACCCCAAAGAGTTGGACTGCCAGGCTCAAAAGGTAGTGGTTGATGGTATCAGAGGTCTACCCTAAGACCTATGCAGCCTAATAATTTCACAGATGGTCCTAAATTGGGGGCAGCAGTCAATGTATTCAAGGAGGCAGCCTCCATTTAGAGGGATCTAGGCAATCCAGAGGAATTGGTTAAAAGGAGCCTTATAAAATACAGCAAGGACAAACACAGCAAGTCCTGCACCTGGAACAGGCTAATCCTTCCATGGTATAGGCTGGGAATTGACTGGCAGGTTCCTGCTAAACAGCAAGCCAAACTAAGTCAGGAGAGCGCTCTGGCAACTAGGACATTTAACAATTTACTGTTTCTATTAACAGGAATGTAGCAAGTAGATTTAGAATAACTTTTATTCCTTTTTATTCAGCATACAGTAAACTACACCTGAAATACTGCACCCCATTCAGCAAAGGACCACCAAAGCAGCTGGGAGCTGGAACACATGCTCTATGAGAAGAGATGGAGGGAATGCAGCTTTTTTAGTCTGGAGAAAAGAAAGTTTGGAGGTGACCTGATGGCAGCCTTCCAATGACTATGTGTCTTATCCATCATTAGCATGAAAAGATTAATTAATTCAGCTTACAATTCCATAATTAATACTCAAATCTTCTCCTACAAAACAACCGTAGCTTGCAGCATCCCAACCTGTACTTCAGAAGCAACAATTGACTGCAGAAGTTAAAACCTTGCATTTATGATTCTCACTTGCATCCTACAGTTTTCAGATAATTTCTTCAATTTCTCTACACTATTTTGAATTTCCTCCCATATACTACCACTTCTAACTTTGTGGTATTTGCATATTTAGTAAACATACTCCCTACTTCATCATCCAGTCAATTAATGAAACATGAAGCACTACAAAATGGAGGATGACCACAAGAAATCAAGCTGATTCACCCCTCCTCTTATTTAACCAAATGATTGACAACCATTCTTCAACATTTTTTTTTTTGAGTATGGGTTTTCTAATTAGCTTTGTGTTTACTTTACAGTAATTTCATCTAGAACTAACGACCGTAGGAGAATTTAAATTAAAAAAACAATTAAGATCTTTATGAAAATCTAAATATGGCATCAGCTGCTTTTCCTCTATCCACTAGACTCATTTATGTTCTGGAAGTAAATTGGAACTTTTAAAAAGTGCTTATTCTGAACAAGCTCACGGACACTATTACTCACCTCCTTGTTGCAAATAATTGGATTTTTTTTCTCTTCCAGCATTTTTTACAGGGAGAGCATGATTACTAGCTCCTCCTCCTCCATCACCTTTTTAAAAGGTGTAAAGTATGCTTGCGCTTTGTCAGTCTTCTGGAACTTAACCTGTCTTTCCAATTATCATCACTAACATGCCTGATACAGCTTCTCTAGGCATCCCAGATGAAATGTATGTAGTTCTAAATCCGCTGGAACTGATAAATACTTTATAAACTTCTCCCCCTCCCCCGTTCAGGTGTGAGTCCTTTCACTTTTCCACAGGTATTGTTAGTGATTTGACACAGCCTACGACACTACCAGAGCTTTGGGAGGGCGGGAAAAAGGACATTAAACGCCACATTATTTTCTTGCATCGGGTGTCCATTGGTTTCCCCCTAGCAGAAAAACTTTTTAGTTTCCCAATTACTACCAGTTTATTTATATAAAACTGTTTCTTGATACAATTGACAATATTTGCTTGCTATATCTTAATTTGTGCACTGCCTTTTTAATTTTTCTACTTACCCATATGTGCCATTCTATTATACTTTTCTATACTTCTGTTCTTCTATACCTGCTCTTGGTACTCTTAGTTTCCCTTCCTTTCACTCTAGTGATTGGAGGCAATGAAGAATTCTTCGTTTATCCAACTTGGCCTCTTAGTGAGTATCTTGTGGTTTTGTTTTTAATGTATTGAAAGAGCTATCAATGACAGTGTACCGTCATTAGCAAGTTCGCTGATGACACAAAACTGGGAGGAGTGGCTGGAGCGGGACCTCGACAGGCTGGAAAGTTGGGCACAGAGGAACCTGATGAAGTTCACCAAGGGCAAGTGTTGAGTGCTGCACCTGGGGAGGTCGAACCCCATGCACCAGTACAGGCTGGGGGATGACCTGCTGGAAAGCAGCTCTGCCAAGAGGGACCTGGGAGTCCTGGTGGATGACAAGCTGACCATGAGCCAGCAATGTGCCCTTGTTGCCAAGAAGGCCAATGGTATTCTGGGGTGCATTAAGAGGAGTGTGGCCAGCAGGTCAAGGGATGTTATCTTCCCCCTCTACTCTGCCCTGGTGAGACCCCACCTGGAGTACTGTGTCCAGTTCTGGGCTCCCCAGTTCAAGAAAGATGAGGAACTCCTAGAAAGAGTCCAGAGGAGGGCAGCTAGGATGATTATGGGACTGGAGCACCTCCCCTACGAGGAAAGGCTGAGAGAGTTGGGCTTGTTCAGCCTGAAGAAGAGAAGACTGAGAGGGGATCTCATCAACACATACAAATAGCTTAAGGGTGGATGTCACAAGGATGGAGCCAGACTCTTTGCAGTGATGCTCAGCAACAGGACAAGGGGCAATGGGTGCAAACTGAAACATAAGAGGTTTCAGTTGAATATGAGGA